TATGACACCCAAGCGCCCTGCTACCCTTAAGGAAAGTGACTCGAAGCGATCAAGAAAACTTGTGACTATAGAAAAAAAGCTAGAAGTTCTGGACCGCTATGACAGGGGTGAAAAATCATCAGTTATTGTTCATGCTACTGGACTAAGTGATAGCACGTTGAGGACCATCAGGGCGAATGCGGACAAAATCAGAGCCAGTTCTATTGCTGGTACATCAGCCTCCTCTTCCCAGTGTTCCCGAGCAAGATCCATAGAGATGGAGAGGATGGAGAAGTTATTGGCACAATGGATCCAACACCAGAATAAGGATAATGTCCCTATTAGCATGGCCATTATACAGACGAAAGCTTTAAGCATCTACAAGGATCTGCTATTAGAGGATGAGGAAGACAAAGCCAAGAAATTCAATGCCAGTTCTGGATGGTTCGCTAGATTTAAGAAACGATATGGCTATGACAACGTTTTGAGGGCAAACAAAGAAAGTCAGGACAAGGCCAGGGAAGCCGGGTTTGATGATCTCGAGCAGAAGGATATTGATGAGCTGCTGGAGTCACACAGAGAGGAGTTGACTAACGAAAAACTGTTAGAAATGGAGAAAATACAGAACGCGGAGTTGGAGGCATCTCGGCCGACACCAGAAACCCCAGAGCCCGAGAGAGTGTTGACCAAAAGTGACCTAGAGAAAGCACTCGCATCTATAAGAGATGGACTGGACGTCCTTGAAGCCAAAGACCCCAATATTAACAGGAGTGCAACAGTGGCCAGAAAAGTTATGTCCGAGCTGAACTGCTACAAATTGATGTTAGAACAAAAGAAGAAAAAAAACGCAGACAAAACTCCATTTTTTTCAAAAGAAGGAAGAGCAGGGAGAGCGAGAGAGGTGGGGAGGGAGCGAGAGGCGATGAGGAAGCACGTGGTGAGGTGAGAGAGCGGGGTGAGGAGGGAGGGAGGCAGGCAGGCGACAGTGGTGAGGAGGGAGGGAGTGAGTCAGCTGACACTCCCGACACACCCGACAGCGGTGACAAGTCTGACGCGTCGTAGGTTTGTTTACATGAATAAATTTATGTTATTGATCCTTCCAATAGTACAAATGATATACTACACAGTGTGTTTTTATTGTTTTTGTAACCTTCAAATATATAATAATTTGTATTTTTAGGTTTCTTAGTAATAAAATTCCCAAAGTAGGCAGACTTTCCCAATGTCCAGGAACCTAACCCCACTATTACCATTATTTCTTATGGAGAAATTATGTTCCGTTAACGTGATTTCCGTTAACGCTGTATCTCCAGGAACCTAACCCCAGCGTTAACGGGGAGTTGACTAACTATATATATATATATATATATATATATATATATATATATATATATATATATATATATATATATATATATATATATATATATGCATTATATATATTATATATTATATATACATTAGGTATGTAATATATATTACATATATCTTCAGAAGATGGAATCCAGGTGGATTTCGAAAGTGTAGTCCCACTTTCAATAAATCTAGATTTTGCATTGTGGGGCTCTCTATCGTAGTTTCAACATAGAATAGTGTTTTACCGTTTATATATGTATATATAATATATTATATTATATATTTATATGTTTATATATATATATATATTGTTTTATATGTGTACATATATGTATGTGTGCCTGTGTATATATATAATGTGTATGTATATTTTTTATGCATATTTACATATATATGTAACGTTTGAATATATATATATTTATATATTAATGTGTGTGTGTGTGTGTGTGTGTGTGTGTGTGTGTGTGTGTGTGTGTGTGTGTGTGTGTGTGTGTGTGTGTGTGTGTGTGTGTGTACGTACCACATGTGTGGTATCTGTGCGTGCGTCTCCGATGAGCGCGTGCGCCTTCCGCCACTGCCAGCTTTATCGCCTTGTTCCCTTTCTGAATGAGCGAAAATTAGAGAAACAGTGATATCTGTCGACTCTTCTGGGCGAATACCTTCGTGTGGGATGAATTTACCCGGCAGTGTCCATACCCCTTACAGGTAGTAGGCCTATGTCGTGAGGTCCGCCCGTTTTGTTCCACAGCCATCCACCTCATCTTCCCCCTTATGTCATCCACTATGGGGCCAATAAAGCAGATTAGTGTATCTCGGATTGCAATAATATATGCGTTGGTGAACGAGAACTAACCCAATAAAGAAATAGCGGCTAAATTAGGACTGTCCCGCAGAATAGTTCAGCGTTGGACCAGAAAATACCGTGCTGGATTGAATACTGTGGTGGATTGAAGCCCAACCTTATATACCAAGCCGTCAAGTCAAGGAATAGAACCAGCGTCTGCTGAAGTGAGTTGCTACTCGAACACTGAGAGAGAACTTGAAAAAATACTCCTCGGCGCTCGAAACGACGGCACTTCTTTCGTTTCACACAGCTGATCTCGCAGTTATTACTCCTCTCGATTATCGCTGTGATATCCGTGAATTGTGATGTTTTCCATCACAAATTCAATAAATGAAAATATTTGAATATCTCTCTATCTTTATATATATATATATATATATATATATATATATATATATATATATATATATATACATATACATACACACACACACGTGTGTGTGTAAGTATATATGTATGTATATATGTATGTGTGTATATATATAAACATATATATATATATATATATATATATATATATATATATATATATATATATACATATATACAACACACACACACACACACACACACACACACACACACACACACACACACACACACACACACACACACACACACACACACACACACACACACACACACATACACACACACACACACACACATACACATGTGTGTGTGTACATATATATTTAATATATACATATATACATACATATACATATATACACACATATATTTATATGTATATATATTTATGTATGTATACATATATATATATATATATATATATATATATATATATATATATATATATATATATATATATATATGTATATATATATGTATGTATATATATACACATGTACATACACGTGTGTGTGTGTACATATATATTTAATATATACATTTTTATACATATACACACATATATATTTATATATATATTTATGTATATATATAAATATATATATATATATATATATATATATATATATATATATATATATATATATGTTTTTATATATTTGAATATACGTTTATATATATTAGTGTTGGTGTTTCTTTTAATCTGATTCTTTTGTTTTAAATCAGATTTTCTTTTCTTTTTTTTATTAGCATAAAAAATATTTGGAAAGTTATTATGTATTCTGTACACTAGTTTAAAACACATTTGGGAGTGCTTTTACAGCATGTGTCATCTCTCGGTTGGTTACAAAGTGTTTGAACCTGTCAAACAGCTCCTAAACCAATGGCCAGGATTCCATCATCTCTCTGTCCTGACTTCTGTTCCTGTATATATCATAAGGCCTCATGACACTGTGTAGTAGTTTGGGTGTTATAGCCACTCATTCCTGAGTTAACTGCAAGAGCGGAGAGATGTCACTGAGCATTAGGCTTAATGTATCTGGTAGGATGAGTGACCCAGTGTGGGAACATTTTAACAGAATTCCTTCAGAGTCTGGGAAAGGATGGAGAGCTGCATGCAGTGTGAACTTGAGTTACAAGGCATAGTAGCAAGAATGTAATCTCGGTGAAGAATGTCAGCAGTTACAAACTGAATTATCAGAAGTGGATTTGTATGTTCCAGGTAAGACTGAAAATCTGACTCCAAAAGTGCCGCAAAGAAGTATTGCAACTTCACCATTACAGAAAGAATAGATATCAGAGTTTGAGAGGTGACTGACCAATAGCTGTGGCTTTGGTCAAAGTACAGTGATAAATGTACAACTGCTGAGGCAGTGAACATATGGAAATCACAAATTCATGCAGTGACAGAGATGCAGTAACTGCTGTAAAAAAGAGATTTGGCCATGTCATAACACAAGCTCATTTTCTTGCAAAACTGTTTCATCCATCCTTTCAAGGAAAACTGCTTAGCACAGAAGTGGATAATGCATTCAACTATGTTTCCCTCACTTGCCCCAGTCATCATGAAATTTCAAGCTAAATCTGCTCCCTTTCAACGCAGTTAAGTTTAGTGATGTAATTTCAACAGCCCAACTACTGTCTGCAGTGGCATCTTCATCAGGGATTGAAAGAGTTTTTTCAAGTCATAGTATAGTACATTCAAAACTAATAAACCATCTGATAAAAGAAAAAGCAACAAAGTTGGTGTTTTTGTTTAAAATCATGGATGCACACAAAATAGATGTATCTGATGATGTTAGTCTAATGCTGACGGGCATGGCATGTACATACATGCCAAGCCCAATGTGAGTTTACTTTATTTATTGTTTTTACATATATATGGCTACAGTTGTACTAAGTCACCAATGAGCCAATTACTAGTACTGCCTGTCTCACCAGTTTACCCTTTTCCTTGATTTACAAAAATAGTTTACCATTTTCCTTGATTTACAAAAATAATTTATGTAATCTTATTTTGCTGTTACTTATTTTTATAACATTATAGTAATTATAATGTCTATAATCAAAATAACACCATTGATATTCATAGCATTAGTAAAAAATATGTTTTTTCCCGCCAACTCAAGGAAAGGTGAAATTGGGTAAGGTCAGAAGGTCTACTAATTAACTCTTTTGTGGCTAAGCACTAGCAGAGTCAATTGTGTGCAGAGACATTTCGCACAAAAAAAAATGAGCGCAGCATTTTCCCCGGTGACATGTAGTTAATGATCAGGATGTATAAAAAGAACTAACTTTATTGTCATAAGAAATAGAAATAAAAACTTTATTTTTTAAAGGTCTTAAATTTCAAATTCAACAAACTTATATAATTCTTTATGAACTACTTTTCAAAAGAAGGGGATAATAACTTTGCAAAGAAGACTGCTTTTCCAGAATAAATTCAATGTGCTTTTCTTTTAACCCAATGGTGACGGGGAAAATGAACAAAAAATGGGGAAAATATTGTGCCCACTTTCTATGTTTTTCGTAAAATGTCTGCCGATAGATGACTCTGCTACCGCCTGATTTAAATGGCGGGAAAAGCGTATTTTTCACTAGTGCTATGAAAATCGATGGTGTTTTTTTTATCATAAACATTATAATTTTTATATATTTTTTTAACATTAGTTACAGCAAAATAAGATTATATAAAATATTTTGTAAATCAAAGAAACGGGTAAACGGGCGAGACGGGCGGTGCTCGTAGTTGGCTCATTGGGGAGTTAGTACAAGTGTTGCCATCTATGCGTAAAAACAATCAAACAAGTACTCACGGTGGGCATAGCACGTACGTACACGTCATACCCGGCACCAAGGGGTTAAATGCAGGCTATAATAATTTTGAATTTTGATTTATGAATTTATAACTTCAAAATATAAATAGGGATGAACTGCTTTTGGTTTCTATTTTTTTAATAGCATGTGAAAATTTTTGTAGTGCTGTATTGTAAAAGGAAGTCTTTTAGTATTCTACTTCTCTGAAACAAGTGCAATTCATTACAAGTAAAACTCTGATATAATATTCAGTGTAATGTGGAAATTTTTAGGATTCAGCTGCACAGAAGTATAAAAAGCAGCTGTAATTATGTGTAGATTTTCATATTTTTTCTTTAAACTTCACGTTGCTTTGGGCAGAAATATATTTTGATTTAAATCAATTATTTTTTTTATCATTTGATATAAATCTTAATTTAAATCACTGATTTAAATTTGCCAACCCTGATATATATATATATATATATATATATATGTATATATATATATATATATATATATATATATATATATGTATATATATATATATATATATATATATATGTATATATAT